GGGGCTGCCTCTGGCGCAGCTACGCCGCTACCGGCCGTGGGGCGGGCCCGGGGCGGGCAAGATGGCGGCGGCGACCGGGCAAGATGGCGGCAGCGGCGGGGCTGATGAGGACGATGATGGCGAGGATGGGGATGAAGGGGAGGAGGAAGAGGAGGCTTGCCCCGATCCCTCGCCGCTGTGCCCCGTTCCCGCTGGCGGGGGGTTTTACCTGGTGCCCACATTTTCGTTGCCGCCCGCGCTGGGCCGTCTGGAGCGATTGGGGCGTGTGATGGTGGAGCTGGAGGCGCTACTGCCGCCTCCTGGAGCGGTCCCCGGGGGTTCCGGGGTGTGGGTGCCTGGGGGGCGCCCGCCGGTGGTGCGCGGGTTGGTGCGCGTGCTGAACCGCTCCTTCGAGAAAGCGGTGCACGTGCGGGCCTCGCACGACGGCTGGGCTTCCTTCTGCGACCACCCAGCGCGCTATGTCCCACGCAGCCCGCCTGGGGCAGGAGTGGGAGGAACAGGAGCAGGAGATCCCCTCCTGGATCCGGGTCTAGGCCTGGGCCCTGGCCAGATGTCTGCCTCCTCGCCCGACGACGGTGGCCGCACTGACCGTTTTGCCTTCCAGCTGCCCTTTGCTGAGGGCGCGGGCGATGGGGCGCGCCTCGACTTCGTGGTGCGCTATGAGACCCCCGAGGGCACTTTCTGGGCCAACAACCATGGCCGCAACTACACTGTCCTGCTCCGGATCGCACCCGCTCCCACACCCACTGATGCCGAAGGGCTGCCCCAGCAGCAGCAGCTGCAGCAGCTGGAGCCACAGCCTGAGTGCCAGGGTCCTGTGGAGGCTGAGGCCAGGCAGCTGAAGAGCTGCATGAAGCCGGTGAGGCGCAGGTAATGTCTGCCAGCGCCACCTCCGCCAACACAGGGCTGGATGTAGAATGGAGGACAAGCATCCCATTCCAGGAGCCCCCCTCCACCCCCCCAGGCCTGCTCTTCAGGACAGGGAGGAGGGTGCATTTGATCAAAGAGTAGGGGAGGCCAAACCTGTGCTAGGTACTGTTTTAAGTACTGGGGTATCATCCATTGTTGAGTTCCACTGTAGAGCCCTGAACAAGACAGACACCTTCCCTGCCCTCAATCATCATGCTAGGCTTCTGTGGGAAACAGTATGAAAAAGCAAACAAGTAGATAAGATAAATAGGGCTAAGGTTAGTACTAAGAAGAAAAAAATCGAGTTAAGGCTCTGGAGAGGGAGTGGCTGCTGTAGGCGCGTTGAGTGAGTTCTTGTGCTCAGTCCTAGCCAGTGATAAAGAAGAGTTATGGAAGAGAGAATTCATAGAGAGTGGAACAGGTAGGACTTTACTGAGGAGGTGGCATGGAGCCCTGAGTGGCATGGAGCAGTGACATACATGAAAGGAAGACGTAGGTAGTTGGAACAGCAAGTTCAAACGTCCTGAGGTGGTTATGAGTTTGGTATGAATGACAGTCCGTGTGCTGGAGTGGAGAGAGCATGCGGTTTGATGGTGCGGACTAAGGGTCTCCCAGTGTGGGGTGTGGAATCTGATTCCTATCTGACATAGCAGGAAGTCAGTTACAGAGGTGGGGAAACTGGTTGAGGAAGTGGTGGTACTTGGCTTTTTAGTTTCAACCATTTCTGGCCTTGAAGTCTATGCAAGCTTCTTTTTTTTTTTTTAACTGTTCCTCTAGTAGTCTGAGGCCTTCTGTAGAGGTGAGGGGCTGAGGCCATAATCTTAAATAGAAGCATTAGCTTTGGCAGAGGCAGAAGCTAATGAGAAGTGGACTTGAAGTGCATGTCTTTTTTGCACACCTCCCATAAGCTTCAGGGGCTGGGAGAAAGGACCATTTATAACCCAGGAGACTGATAGAATGCTTTTCTAGGCCTTCTTAACCAGGGATATAAGGTTTTCAAGTACAGCAGCTAGGCCTGATTTTCTTTGTGGTCATGTAGGTGAGGTGACTCCTTGGGTCAGTTAGTTCTCCGAGAAATGTATGCGTTTTCCTTCTCTGAGGACCGAAAATGGAAATGGGAATGGGAGGTTGCTCTTTTGGCCATTGGAAGCTGCATGATGTGTTGTGGGATCGACTGGTTGTGGTCAGGGGCTTGTTGTGAATGGTTCTGAAAGGTTTAGCTCTTAGCTGATGGACTTGAAGGGTTGAGAACTTGGATTCTGCTGTAAGGTTACCTGGGTTCAAACCCTAGGCCTGCCCTTTTCTAGTGTTGTGACCTTAGCCAATTCTTAACTGCATCGTGCTGTAGGTTACTAAGTATCCCCTCATCTGTAAAATATGTAATTACGGCACATACTGCACAGGGTGAGTAAAAACATTCAGGGTTTAGCCTAGTTCAAAGTCGTGCCAAAAGCGGTGTTAATTAGCATTAATATTTAGATACTCACATACATTCTATGGATTCCCTTCCTGAACTCAGCTTTGTTGTATGGTCTCTTCTCAGTTCTTCACTTCTCAGAGAGGGATGGCATTGACATTGTGTGGTTGAATTGGATGCAGCAACTGTGGGCAAGGTAACTGAGGCATAGCTGTAGCTGTGAAAGGTATGGTGGTCAGTGTTTACTGGTCGCTGGTAAGAGTGGTAGGTCCGTTGTCCTCTGAAGGCCAGCTGAATGTGCTGTTTGTTGTAGGTACGATATTGAGTCTTAGTTGACAGGGAGATGGGGAGCTCAGAGAGATGATCTAGCTTGCTTAAAGTCACTCAGCTAGTAAATGACGAGCGCAGGGAGGAAATGTTAAGGACGTTAGTTTAAAAGTAAATTCTGGATTTCACTGGTGGTGTTCTTAGGTCTTCATCTTTTCCCCTGTACTTGTTTTGTGTGCTTGATGTTTTATTGAGGGATACCAACATGGACGGTACTGATCTTGAGTGCATGGCTCAGAAGATTTACACATGTTTGCACTTCTATAACCACCGCCTAGATTAATAGACTGAGCAGCTCCAGTGCCTCCAGAATCGCCTTCATTTCAATCACTTCTCATCCCAGTTGGCAGTTATGGGAACCCTGTCTGTAAGATACGACAGTTTGGGTATTGAAGTTTGGTCATTTTCAAGAGTGTGAAAGGAAGGGAACAGACAAATCAAAACCTTGCTAGGCCAAGGTGGGTGGAGAGGGTGTTTTTCTTTTAAAATACATGGGTGGTTTTAAGGAGAAATTGAAGTAGTTCATTTAGACAATTGTTTTGGTAGCTGGCCCCATGCTTGTGGTTCCCAACGTGACTTGAGATATTATTTTAAGTGGGCAGATGGCTTTTTGATAGCTTCTTTATCTTTTGATCTCAGCTCTTGCAAAGGGGAGGCTGGTGTGCACTGCAAGATCAGCGATAAGGTTTTCTTTGTAGGTCGGTGGCTTTCTTGGCAAGTACATTTCAACTTATTATTGTTGTAAGGCCTTTGTGCTGCTGCTGATTTGGAGTGCTGTTGAAGAACAGCTACCCCCTGTGATCTAGCCCTCTGGGGAAATGGTGGTGGACCTCAGGGGATACCCTTTTCTTATCTGTGGGAGGCTTGCTGTAGAGGGCTTCAGAAATGTTGGCTGCAGGCCCACTGTGCAGCTGGGCCGTGACAGGTGGGGTCAGCAGAGATGTTTGGCAGCCATGAGGATATAGTCCAGAGGCTCAGGCATGCTTTCCCTGGGTTGCAGGACCAGGTTTTCAGTACCCATTAGGTTTAGAGATAATCCATCAACAAGCATTTTTTTTGTAGGGCCTGTTATGTGCTGAACACAGGGCTAGGAAGAAGCAAAGAAGACCCAGACTGGATCTAAGATACCCAAGGGCTTGTACTATAGCCAGGTGGCGAGGCAAGGTCAAGCCTTACCAAGTGATACATGGCTGAGCTCCTTTTCTTTGTTAGGTACTTTGCTGAATATTTTTGTATAGTCTCATTCTTGACTGCTTTCTGTGGGCTAGACTGCTTTAATCCCTCTTAACTGCGTGAGTAAATAGCATTGGAGTCCTCAGTGCTAGAACTGGTAATGGATGGAGACCTTCTGGTCTGTCTTGGCTTTATACTCTGAGGAGATGTCCTATTCCTCTTCAAAATAAAGATCAACAAAAGTCTGACGGGCCCTTACCCCCCTCTCCGTTCTCCAGCTTGCCTTCTGCTGTCATCTAGTCTTGCATTATACTGTCTTCTGTTCCTGAGCTCTTGTCACTGTGTCCCTTCTGTCACTCCTCTTGCTTTGGGTCTTTGCTCATACTGTTCGTTTCCCTGAGAATGTGTGTCCTGTACCCCTCAAATTCTCATGTAGACCCCTCAGTTCTAAGAGGGGTTCCTCACGGAAGCCTGTCCACC